CTTTAAATGCTCCCCCCAGGTTTCGCTATAGATCGCAATGTCATCCAGGTACGCGCAAGCGAAATCCTGGAAGCCATCAAGGAGGCGGTCCACTAAGCGCTGGAATGTAGCCGGGGCGTTTTTCATCCCAAATGGCATGACTTTGAACTGGTACAAGCCAAATGGGATGACAAAGGCCGACTTAGGGATAGCCTCCTTGTCCAGGGGGATCTGCCAATATCCTTTGCACAAATCGATGGTGGTCAGATAACGTCCCCTGGCAATGCGATCTAATAGCTCGTCTACTCGGGGCATGGGGTAGGCGTCTGTCACGGTTCTGTCATTGAGACGTCGATAATCGACACAGAACCAAGTGGTTCCGTCCTTCTTGGGAACTAGAACCACCGGGGAGGCCCACGGACTGTCCGAGGGCTCTATCACCCCCAGTCTTAACATTTCTTGGATCTCCTTCCTCATCTCCTCTTTTACTGCCTCAGGGATCCTATAGGGGGTTTGTCGGAGAGGGGTTTGTCCTGGGGTCTCTACATAGTGGGTTGCTAAGGGGGTGTACCCGGGCTCTTGGGAAAACGTCAGCCCTTTCTCAGTCAGCAGCTGTCGGATCTGTCCCTTTTCGGCGGGAGTTAACCGCTCCCCTAGCTGTACGGTATTGAGTAGGGTTTTAGGTTCTGGGTTAGCTAATAGGTCGGGTATGGGTAAGCTGTCAGGGTCTTCGGTAGCGGGTATGCATATGGCGGCTATATCCTCGGTCTTTCCTGATATTCCTTTAATAGATTTACATGAAAGGACTTCCGGATCCTTTCATCTTTGTTGCTGGCGATTACGGAGGTGGTGTCACAGACTTGTGCTACCACTTTGTAAGGGCCCTGCCAGGAGGTCTGGAGCTTATTCCCTTTGACAGGTCTAAGTACCAGCACCTTCTGGCCTACTTGGAACGTTCTCTGGCGGGCGCCCTGATCGTACCAACGTTTCTGGTGCCCTTGGGCCGCATGGAGGTGGTCCCGTGCCATCCGGGCTAACTGCTCCATACGGTCCCGCATTTCTAATACGTATGGCACGATGGGTACACCGTCGTGTTCTGTCTCCCCCTCCCAGTGCTCCCGGATGAGGTCGAGAGGTCCTCGTACTCTCCGGCCATAGAGCAGTTCAAAGGGAGAGAACCCTGTGGATTCCTGCGGCACCTCCCGATAAGCGAACAGGAGGTGCGGCAAGAATCGTTCCCAGTCTCTGTGTTCCGCTGTAAAGGTCCTCAGCAATTGCTTTAGGGTACCGTTAAAGCGTTCACAGAGACCGTTAGTCTGTGGGTGGTACGGGGAACTAAGCAGGGACTTAATACCACAGACCTTCCACAGCTGTTGGGTTAGGTCTGCGGTAAACTGGGTCCCTCTGTCGGACAGGATTTCCTGGGGGAATCCCACTCGGGTGAATATCCCGACTAAAGCACTGGCGACAGTGTCAGCCTGGATATTCGTCAGAGCGACGGCTTCTGGGTAGCGAGTAGCATAGTCCACCACGGTAAGGATGTATTTCTTACCAGAGGGACTGGGGTTAGGTAGGGGTCCCACTAGGTCGACTGCTACCCTGCTAAATGGTTCCTCGATCACAGGCATAGGTAACAGTCGAGCTTTAGGGTGATCCCCTCTCTTCCCTACCCGTTGGCATACGTCACAAGTACTGCAGTAACGTCGCACATCCTTCGAGATCCCCGGCCAAAAGAAGGTCTGGGTGATCCTGAAGGTGGTGCGGTTACCCCCTAGATGTCCTGCCAACGGAATGTCGTGGCCAATTCGGAGAAGTTCCAACCGGTACTTTTTGGGTACCACCAGTTGGCGCTTCTGCGAAGGGGCACAGCCTCTCTTTCTGCCTTCAGTCAGTCTGTATAACCTGTCCCCATCCCATAGAAAACTTTCCCGTCCGTCCCCCCCATGGTCAGCTAATTCTAGATACTTTTGGAGGGTGGGGTCCTCTCTAGTTTCCCTCCCAAACTCCTCTGGGGTGTCCCAAGCTATGGGCCTGCCTATCGTAGTGGGGTGACATGTGGGTGCTTGGCTTACCTTGGTCTCCCGGCCTGTATTAGGATCATCTGCGACACGGGACTGTGAACGGGTGGTTACGGGACAGGCGGCAGCAGGTGTGGGCAAATATGCTGAAGTTAAAGGTCCAATGTCATTTCCCAATACGACCTCGGCAGGCAAGTTGTCCATAATGCCGACGGTGGCTTTTCCTGATCCAACTCCCCAATCTAAGTGTACTCGGGCGGTGGGCAAGCGAAAAACAGCGCCCCCTGCAACCCGAACAGCAACAGTGCGGGTCGACTCATCCTCCGGCTTCACTAGGTGTTTTTGGATCAAAGTGATGGTAGCCCCGGTGTCTCTTAGGCCTTGTGCTGTTTGTCCATTCACCTTAACCTCCTGTCGGTGATGTTGTCGATTGTCTGGGGAAGCAGCTTGTATGGGGTCTGCTTCATACAAAATCCCCAGACATTCTTCAGGGCCCACTTCGGCTTCCAGACAGTGAGCCGCAGCGGGTCGTGCTGCAGGGGCCTCGGTGCTGGGAGTTGTGCGCCTCCAGTTGTTGTTACTGGATCTTAGGGGACAATATCGGGCAATATGTCCGAGGTTGCTGCAGTGATGGCACGTCACCTTTGACAAATCCCGGGGGTAGTTAGTAGGCCCCTGAGGCCGGGGTGGTCCTGGTGGGACTGGAGCTCGAAATTCTGGGCGTGAGACAGCGGCTGGGGCACGTGGCTCTATTTTGTGAGCTTGTCGGGTAGTACCCTGGCTTACTTTCCTTGTCTCGGCATATTCGTCGGCCAGCCGAGCCGCCTCCTTTAAATTGGCGGGGCGCCGATCTCGTACCCAGTCTTGAATGTCCGCCGCCAAATCTTGGAAGAAATGTTCCATTAAGAACAACTGTAACACCTCCTCACCCGTGTGGGCTTTGCATCCTTGGACCCAGTGAGATGCTACTCTCTGTAGTCGGCTTGCCCATTCCATGTGGGAGTCCACAGCTTTCTTTTTGGACTCCCGAAAGCGACGACGGTAGGCTTCTGGGGTTACCGCATACCTGGTGAGCAGTGCCTCTTTTACTTTTTGGTACTGCGTGATTTCCTCTGTAGTGAGTGCTCGGAACGCCTCATTAGCTTTCCCTGACAGTTTTCCCGCCAGGATAGTGACCCATTGCTCTGGCGGTATGTGATGTAGTGAGCACTGTCTTTCAAAGTCAGCCAAATATCCATCAATTTCCTCGTCATTTTCTACAAAGGCTTTAAATGCAGTAAAGGGAATTTTTGTTACCGTAGTAGTGGGTAGCGGGGTAGGAACTGTCTGGGTAGTGAGCTGTCGGGCTCTTACCAGTTCCGTTTCTTGTTCCCTCTTGGTTTGTATTTCTTCCCTTGCTTCCCGGAACAGTTGGGTTATTAGTTCTGTAGACGTGACTGGATACAAAGCTAACCTCCGCTGCACAATTGCAGTAATCACATCGTCCTCACTGATGGGTGCCATGGGTTCAGTTACCTCCATGGACCTGTCCATCTCGTCCAGCTCCAGCAAGTCAGCTATCAGCTCCCTCCGTGGTCTGTTGCTGGCACTCCTACCACGATTCTCCAACAGATCCTTTAGTGTGGGTCTTTTCAGCTTCGCATACTGTGACTCCATTCAGTGCTTGCTTGTTGGATAAAAGGACCATCCCACCGCTGCCACCAAAGTAACGGCTACCCTGGTAGAGAGAGGGTATCGGCCGTTGGAGACGTCCTTTTTCCCTGCAAGCTGCTGTGGAGAAGTAAGCTGGTATAATCCCAGTCACGATATCCAGAGTAAAAGTCAGGTTCAGCTGTAGCAGGAGCAGAATAACATTCCCAAATAATCCCCTTCCAAGAACGAGACAAGGCTACGTTTTGCAGGGTCAAGAAGATCTGAGGTCTGGGAGAACCAGCCTGCTTTTTATTAGGAACAAGTACACACAGGACACTTCCAGGGGGAGGATGAAAATAACCAATTACACACAGGGTAACACCCCCACGTCTCCTCCCCTCAGATAAACATATAACATAATTATAACGTACATAAATTTACCCACATTCTGGATGTACCCCAAAAACAGGGGGTACACCTTTAAGTCCAGCACCGCTTAATAGCTACCACTCAGGGGAATAACATATTCAAATTTCAAGTCATTCGGTTGTGGGTTTCGGGAGTTATGGGTCTTTGAAGTTTTGACCGACCGCACAGGATTTTCAGCCGAAAAGAGTTCCACAAGTTTTGGCCTTGCGGTCGGTCCCCGTTCGTGAATAAAAAACCCCACGAACCCCTTGCCCTCCACAGTAATCCTGCCGTTCGCCTGAATCCCCATGCATGCTTAAACAAAACTACCGAACGGCCGGTCGTTCGGTAGTTTCAGCACGAACTTACGAGCTCCTGGAGGTCTCAGCGGCGTTCGCCTGTTTGCGTATCCGTTTTTAGTTCCATGCGTTCACAGGCAAACACCGCCGTTCGTGTGTAAGATGGCCGCGAACACGTGTAAAGTCCCGAAATGGCGGCCACCTATTCTCAGACAAAGGGATTCGTCTGAACCAGGCGAACGGCTGTATTCTCCAGTAATGATATTCCCTTGCAATGATTTCGCCATTTTCACTGTTTTAGTCCACAGGGCTTTGGTGCTGGTGAAGTCCTGTTACAGCGATCTTGATGTGAATTTTATCTGGATTCTGATTGTCTGAAAGCAACCTCAGCCGGTTAAAACATAAACATATATGGAGTAATAGGAGGGGTTATAGGAAGGGTTATATGGAGTAATAGGAGGGGTTATAGGGAGGGTTATATGGAGTAATAGGAGGGATTATAGGAAGGGTTATATGGAGTAATAGGAGGAGTTATAGGGAGGGTTATATGGAGTAATAGGAGGGGTTATAGGGAGGGTTATAGGGAGTAATAGGAGGAGTTATAGGGAGAGGTTATATGGAGTAATAGGGGGGGTTATAGGGAGGGTTATAGGGAGTAATAGGAGGAGTTATAGGGAGGGTTATATGGAGTAATAGGAGGGGTTATAGGGAGGGTTATATGGAGTAATAGGAGGAGTTATAGGGAGGGTTATATGGAGTAATAGGAGGGGTTATAGGAAGGGTTATATGGAGTAATAGGAGGGGTTATAGGGAGGGTTATATGGAGTAATAGGAGGGGTTATAGGGAGGGTTATATGGAGTAATAGGAGGGGTTATAGAGGCCATGCGGAGCAATAGGAGGGGTTATAGGAGGCTGGTATGGCGGGCCTAGAAGCGCCAGAGGGTTATATGGAGTAATAGGAGGGGTTATAGGGAGGGTTATATGGAGTAATAGGAGGGGATCCTCTGAATGCGAAGCAGCTTTCTTCACATTTCAGAGATTGTCGTACCCTACTGACAGATCGCACTCAGACTGCCTGTATACATAATTACACATTAAAAATACATTTATTTATGGGCACTGAGTTTTCTCATTTAATGAGAATAAAAACTAAACATTGCGTTGGATATTCAAAGGAGAAACATTTTGTTTTATTTTATTTTCATGCAGAACCGGATCATAAGGCTGTAGGGACTCGTTGATAATGTTTTGCTGAATGATCTGGCATTTTAGGGGTTAAGGCAATTTGATCGGGATATAAAAACACTTTACAATACAGTAAGACATCTTCAAACTGCATTCACAGCCAGCGGCACGGACTCTCAGGGTAGAGAGTGGGGTGGGGGACTATATAGTACAAAATATGAAATAGGACAGCAAAGAGCGGAGAGGTGGAGAGCGAGGGAATGAGCAAGTAGGGCACAGAGAGAAAACATACAATGTACGAGAGAGAGGGGAGGAACGAAACAGAGAGAATGGGAGGAATAGAGAGACAGGCAGGAGGAATAAAGTAAGGAGAAATTCTCATAGAGATAGATAAAGGAAGAGAAAGAGTGTGAACGAGGATGATGGACAGAGAGAGGATGAGAGGAGAGAGACAGAGAGAAAGGGAGACTGATAGAGATAGAGAGAGAAAGAGAGAGGGAACTGAAGAAGCTGACAGAGAGAGAGGGAGAGTGATAGATTGAGACTGATAAAGAGAGAGAGATGGAGAGACTGAGAGATGGAAAGAGACGG